TTGCATAACACATGTCAACCCTAAGATATAGGCTCTGCTATACCCCTAATTTTTAGCTGAGGAAACCCAGGTAGAGAGAAGCTAGACTGCTTGCCAAGTTCACACAGCTAATAACTACCAGACTCCAAATCCAAACCCTGGAAGTTCTGACTTTAGAGTTGGACCTCTTACTCACTGTGTTACAACTTCCCATACACCTGGGAAGCATATTACAAATATCATAATTTAGAAAACATTTGTCCATCTGGCGTTCTATGTAAGCCTCACAATTGGCCAGGAAAGGAATAAACAGGAGATTATTATTAAACTAATTTCATAGATGAGGCAACTGAAGCTCAAATATTAAGTCCCCATACTGTGAGAGCCTCAAGTGCAGGGACACTGTCTTTGCATTTCTGAGCTCCAGGTTTGCTGCAAAGTAAATGATTCAGAATTTGTTCAATGACTGGCCCCGCATCCCACAGCAAATGAGAGGCACATGGGCACCTGGGTCCAAGCTAGGCCTTCCATCTCAGTCAAATAATGGCCAAGAAGAAAGCAGTTATTATACACAATAAGCAGCGAGCATGTATTAAGTATTCTGAGAGCATTACAGACAACAAAGAGCATAAGAAAGAGAGGCACGAGCAAACAAGGACAATGGAGATAGCTGTACAGACTCTCTTAGAGAATAAACAAATTGAGCTAGACCTTAAAAGAAGCTTGGCTTTCCACAGACCAAGAAGGAGGAGCAGCATTCTAGGCAGGGGAGAGGACACTAAGTAAAACAACAAGAAAAATGGGCTCAATGGGTTCAAGGAACATTGGTTAGTGGAAGTTCCATATAAAAAGGTGGTGAAAGATAATGAGCTGAAGGTGGGTACTAACTAATTGTAGAGACATGTGAATGTCCAGATAAGAAATTAGGACTTTAATGCACAGTAAGTGGGTAACCATTAAAAGAAACAGGAAAGAGGAAATGTATAAAATATATATTTTCAGATATTTGACAACAGAGTTTTCTAGGTTCTGGGGTCATAAAACTAGAAATTAAGTAAGAATCCACCAAACTAGTGAAACATAGGAGTCAGAGAAAAATCACCGATAAAGCCAATGCTTAAAGGCTGCAATGATTTAGAGAACTATATCTGAAGCCCTAGGGTAGATGATATCTTCAATAAAATAACAGAGCAAGTTACTAAGAGTTCTGGAACATTATCCTGCAAGGGGATAATCTGATAAGCCAGATCCATCCCTTTATGTCCCATCATGTGCCAAGTCAGGAAAGAAATGAAAAGAGCTGGGGAGTAAGCCAATCATGAGAAACTCTAATGTTTAAAGCTCAAATGGAAACACATCAGCACTAGTCACCACTCTATTGGCAAGAAGTGCTTAAGAAATAACCTCAAGCAAATTCCATCTGTTTCAACTTAGCAAAAGTTATCTGCTAAAGGAGATTTCCCTGAATTTGACAAGATAACTTTAGAACATGCTGAAATTGGAGAGGTTATGCTTTAAAGAATACAAGTAAAAAAACCCTTTTTTTTTTTTTTGACAGATCAAGCTGTGAATGTCATCCTGATAAAATGCCTGATTATAATTCAGTTTGAAATAATAAAGTTAGCTCATACTGAATAAAATCCTTTTGGATTTAGCTTACTTTTTTTTTTAAATGATGCTAAAATAATATAATCCTGAAAATACATTAATATGATTTTAAAAAGTTTAGAAAAATATCAACTTTTCATTTATCTATCCATAAACCAGAAATAAGAATATCACTCCAATTTAAAAACTTAAATATTACAGTATCAGCCCTAATTATGCTATGCTTTCATAAGACCATTCAAAATATTTTAGGTTAAAGATACATGATGCAAATAATATTAGCAAGAATTTTCTATCTCTTAAAAATATTTTAATTAATATTTCCTCATTTGTTTAAATTTCTTCTTTGACCCCAAGTGTACATTTCCAGACAGTCTTAGTTAACTGTTATTAAATTTGAGCATAATTCCACTGTGATCAGAGAACAGACTTTGAACCATTTCAATATTAAAAGTGTCAGATGCTTGCTTTAGAGTCCAGCATAAAATATATTTAAACAAATGTTCCATATGTATTTTAAAGAATACAAATTCTGTTTTTGTTGGGTATAATATTCTATCTATATCAATTGGGTTTAATTTATTCATCAATACTAAAATCTTCTACATCCTTACTAATTTTTTGTTTGTTCTACAAGATCTTGAAGTATGTATATGTGTGTGTGTGTGTGTGTGTGTGTGTGTGTGTGTGTGTCTGTCTATCCATCTCCCACTAAAGTTGTAGATTTATTTTGGTTTAGATTTGTCAATTTTTGCATGTATAATTTGAAATTATTTTATTTGCAACATAAAGAATTAAGATGATCCTTCTTTATCATATTGGTCCCCCTTCATCATTATGAGATTATTTCAAAGTAGCATTATTATTAAGTACTTAATCTGATATTGGTATAGTTATAGCACCTTCACTTCAGTTAGTGTATGTATTGCAAATCCTTTTACATCCTCTGTTCAAAGTATGTCAGTTATAAGCAAATGTAGTATGGTTCTGGTTATTTATCTAGTCCAACAAACTTAGTTTTTTACTTGGAGTATTTAATTCATTTACATTAAATGTTATTACTTATGTGGATGGATTTATAGCTATCATCTTACCCTTTGTTTTCAAGCTGACTTATTTCTTTCTTGCCTTTACTGAATTGATAGAATGTTGCTTTGTTCTATTTTCCTTCTCATTTAACTTGTTAGATAAATATTTTATTCTTTAAGTTACCTATGCATCCTTGACTGATTACAAGCCAATGCAACTTATTACTTTTACTATCCCTCCAACAATCCTAGAATCTTAAAATACTTTTACTTCACATTGCTCCCCTCCTGAGTCTTGCACTATTACCATATATTTTAAACTCTAAAAACATTATAGATTTGAATGGTCAACATTCATTTGTATTTCACATACACATTTCCCCTTTATTGTGCTCTTCAATCCTTCCTTGCATTTCCATCCAGGATCATTTTCCTTCTGCCTGACGTATTTCCAATTTGTAATGATTTTAATGCAGGTCCACTACCAACAAATTCTCTCAGTTTTTGTCTGAAAATATCTATTTCACCTTCATTTTTGAATGAACTTTTTGCTGGGAATAGATTTCTAGGTTGGCATTTATTTTCTTTCAGTACTTAAAAAAATGACTATTTTTGGAGGTGCGTGTATGTGTGTGTGTTGTTTTAATATATTTTCAATGACTTATTAGTAAAGTCAGTCATATTATTGCTTCTTTTAAAGTAATATGCCTTTTTAACACACTTGCCATAGTTTTCTAGTCTTATATTGATGTGCAAAGACAAATTTCCTTTATAGTCAATCTTCTTAGAATATCCTAAGTTTTCTGAACCTCTAACCTGCTGTCTTTTATCACTTTGTAAAATTCTCATCTCTTCAAGTATTTCTCCTGCCCTTTTCTCTTTCCTCTCATTCTGGGATTCCAATTCTATATATGTTAACCCTTTCAGTCACATCCCTTATGTCTTTAATGTCCTTACCTATCTCTTTTGTGTATTATTTCTCTGTTACAGTTTGAGATTATCTACTGACATGCCTTTCTATTTATTATTTCTTTCTTGTATTGTAAACAATCTGCCACTGAACCTAAACATTAAACCCTAATGTTTATTGTACTTATTTTCTATAATGTCCATTTGGTCTTTATAAATTTCAATTATGCTGAAATTATCCCTACTTTGTTCATCTTTTCTGCTATTTCTTGAACATATTATTTATAGCTATTTTAAAGTACTTATCAGCTAACTCCAATAGCTGATTCATCTGTGGGTCTGCTTCTATTACCTTGTTTATGAGTGATATAATCTTGCCTTTTAGTGTATCTAGTAATTTTTACTATATGCTGAACACTGTTGAGTCTCTCTAGATTATACTTGCTATCTGAAAAACAAAACAAAACAAAATAGAAACTCCTCTGTTACTCTGTTAGACAGGTGCAGAAGGACCTCATCATCCAATAAGGGTTGAGCGGGGCTGCCATTTTTATAGGACTTAGTCTGCCTTTGGTTTGCCCCTGCTCCTAAGGCATGGATCTCTACAGAGTTCAATGGGAGAGTTTTGTCTCCTCAACACTACATTCAGTTCTTCCCTTTAAATGTTTTTAGAGCAGCTCTTTGGCTTCCCATCCTACTTAGCTTCAAAATCTGGTACATGTCAACTCTAGTCACATATTTGAGATTCTTCCAGTCTCATTTTTTGGTACTACCCTTAGAAACCTCTTCAGGCTGTTCTGTCTCCCATAAGCAGCCTTATTCCAGAAGACAGACTTGGATTCCCATCTGGTCGCTACATCAAGAATCAACAGCTGCACCAGGTAATAAGCAGCTCTCCATCTTCAGTGTCAATAGAACACACCCTAGGATTTTCCAGGCTTGCCTGTTCTGTTACCAGACTCTTGCCCACAGCAGGTCTACATTTCAATGAAGCACTATGGCAGATTTCAATATGTCTTCCAAAATCTTAGAGCCAACTTCTTAGGCTCTCCTCCATATGTCTGTTGGAAAAAACCAACTGTGGATTTGAGGCACCCAATCCTAATTCTCCAGTTTGCACTCCAGCTCTGTGTAACCAGAAAACTTTGCCAAGTTCTCTTCACCAGTAACATCCCCCACCCCCAGCTTATGTCTCCAGAACTAGCAAGCTTCTGCAGAAATAAAATGGTTCATAATCCTTAATATACTTCAAAATGATTTTCCCTTCTCTGGAATTTTAATCTAACTAGTCCTCATTACATCCAGAGCTCTCCAAATCCTTTAAATGTTATTTTTATAAGTGTTATCAGTAGCACTAATAAACTACATGGTGTATCTTGTACTACTAATTACTTTACAGAGTTTCTTAATATTTTCCAAAGTACAGTTTAAATATGCTTTTGAAATAAAAGCATCAGTAAAACAGTTACTTCTTACCTCTTCATAAAACTTCACCTGAGGTACAGCTTCATTAATTTCATTCAAACAAAAATCTTTAAATAGCAAGAAACCTAAAGGAAAAGAATAAAAAATTTCAGGGTGGGTAATAAATTGAAATTTTATCCCACATGGTATTTTCAAATTAATGTGCTTATACCTCAATCTCTTCTTTCCCTGATTTAAAATGAAAAAAATAAAAGATCTCAGGAAGATAATTATACCCTAAGAGGAAAGAATCCAGGAAAAGTGAGATTACTATGGATATAAATGCACCTGGATCCTAACTTTGGGTTCTCTATTCACAGCTCCCCATCCCACTTGTTAAGCACTGCTTTTGGTTATCACTATTTCAGTCACTGTAGTAGGCAGAATAAAAACCAAAGAAACAAGAAATACAGGTAGTATGGAATTGGTAAGAGTCACCATGGAGCTAATAAGCACTATGCCCATAGTAATAGCACTAAACTCCCTAAAAAGAAAGAAGAGCTTTCACATCTTTTCTAGCCTTTTTTACCACCACTCACTACCTTATTGTCCTTCAAAATCCCCCTCCAATACCTCATGCCAGAGCAGATTACCCATTCCCAGATTATTCTTTGCTCCTTCACAACTTCATGCCTCACCTCTGAACAATCAGAACCTTATGCCTAAACAACCAGGACCTCCCCCACTGCACAGTGCCTAGTACACAGTAGGAGGCCAATAAAAATTTGCTGAATGAATGTATACATAGCCTTTATGTCAACATCCTTCTGTCAAAGGACTTAGCCCACTGACTTATAAATGTCCCATCCCATTTGCAAAGCCAGTGCCCAATTTAAAGCCTAACACACAATCAAGCCTAAAAGAATGAGTGAAATTGAATAGGACAAGCTAATACCAGACTGAAGGTAGAGATATTGGAAAATAAAGAGTTAAAGACCATTGAAAACGTAATCATTGAAGACAATCAAAGGACTGCAGAAGAAACAGAAGGCACAGAGGGAGCCGAAGAAAGTCATGAAAATCTAAAATGTAGAAGATGAACCAGAATTCCCCGGGTAGGCCTGAGACAAAGGAAGAAGGCTTGACAAGATTTAATTAAAAAGTTAGGGTAAGACTTGTGTAACATGAACTTGTCTGTGACTGTTCCATAAATTCCCCCCCCCCCCCCACTGTTCAAGGAACATGACCTTTTAAAAAGGTAGGTGTTTGTGCACTGGAACTAAACGAAAAGTGGTCAGGCCAGGCCAGACGAGCAAGGGTTGGGCACAGACCAGCAGCAGCAGTTGTGGTAAAGCCGAGTTATGAAGGAAGTAGGAAATTCAAGAACCAGACAAATGGGAAGAGCTGAACATGTGAATCTCCACCCACTTATATATTAGTATTTTTATCCTTAATAAGAGGAATAGCTACCTTTCTGTTCTCGTGCATTTCAAAGTAACTTCAAATTTCCCTTGTCATTTTTCTTTGACCCATGAGTCATTCATTTAATTTCCAAATGATTTGGTTTCTTTTTAAATATGTATTTATTTATTTCTGCATGAAAGAACTCTAGTGTAGGCCATACGTGCCGGGGGTGAGAGGATTCATCAGAGACAGATTGGGGAACAGAACAGGCAGACTGACTGAAAAATACTGCTGAGGGGAGCAGTGGGTGAGACAGGAGAGGTCTGCCGCGCCATCTGTGGGTTAGCTCCCTGGCCGGGGATTGAACTCAGACTGTGGTTCTGATAGTGCTGCGACTCAACCCCTAGGCCAGGGAGGCCCCTGCTTTGGGGTTTTCAAGTAATTTTCTGATGCTGATTTCTGCTTAATTCTGTGGTGGTCAGAGAACATGTTCAGTATAATTTCAATATGCTTAATTTTATTGAAGTTGGCTTTGGATCCAAATTTCGCCCATAGGCACTTCAAAAAAATTAAAGAAAAAAGGGGTAGGATACAATACCATTAAAGCCTTTTAATGGTTGATAGGGTTGTACAAGTCCATCCTCTACATCCTTATTGAATCTCTACTTTTTCTACCTATTGAAACCACCATTTGTAAATGTGAATTTGTTTATCTCTTTTCCATTCTGTCAGTTTATGGTTCACATATTTCTTTAAATATTTTTGGAAGAGAAAATTAAGATGAGAGTGTGGACTTCTTTTGATAAGATGAGAGATGTTTGAAAAAATGTCTCACTGGACCTCCCCTGTTGGCACAACGGTTGAGCACTGGGCTGAGAAGCTGCCGGCAGCCTCTGCAGACCGGTTCGATCCCCGGCCACCAGCGAAGGTCCCACATGGCGTGACAGACCTCTCCTGCCGCGCCCACTGCTCCCCTCAGCAGTGTGTTTCGTCAGTCTACCTGTTCTGTTCCCCGCTCTGGCTCTGGTAAATTCTCTTACCCTCCCGCGCTTCTGACTGTACCCAGTGCTTGTATAAATAAATAAATAAATAAATAAATAAATAAATAAATAAATCTTTAAAAAAAAAAGTCTCACTGACAGTGTGAAACACTATGCCACACAGGAACCACGGGGCCGTTGACTGCACTTGACATCACAATGAAATTGTCCACCATGGCCTGTCACACCCTCTGCCAAACTGTCCTGACTTCCTCCTCCAGTTCATCTTGTAGCTAACTCTCTCCCAAGGTCACTTCACTTTGGCCAAGTGTGTTTTCTAATTTCTCTAACATCATGCTTGATCCCTTCCCAGGGTTTCTAATTTACCCACTTTCTATAACACCCTTTCCCTGGAACTGGCAGGGGCAGGTGGGGGGTGGTGTGTTTGCAGGGCTCAGCTCAAATTCCTCTGTCCTCAGAGAACTGCCATGATCCTATTATCTCTCATCCATCTCTCATCACCCCCCCCCCAACACACACACTTCAATTGCAGCTTGTATGAGCACCAAAAATTATCACATGCATGTTTATTCACTTCTTGATTACCAGCTCCCCCAATACAATGTAAACTGCATACAAGCACAGGCCACTACGACATTTGCAGCAATAAGAACATTGATCGTGGCACAGAGGAAGCTCAGGAGAAAGAACTAAGGAAGGAAGGAAGAAGGGGAAGAAGAGTAAGGAAAGGCTAAAGGAAAGAAAAGGGAAGAGGGAGACATGGAGGGAGAGAGGGAATGAAAGAAGAACTGTAAGGGAGTGAAGGAGTTGAATGAACATCCAATTTAAAATGTTTTCACCTACTTCTTTAATGCAGTTTCCATTGTCAGTGGAAATATGTGTAGGATAAGTCAATGTGTAGGACAGTCAAAGAATTATTTTAATATACTACAGGAAGTGAAAAAAAAGTATGTTCCTCACATCTGTACATAAATTGAAGCTTTACTCTCTACTGTAAGCAGCTGTTAAGATGGAGCAGCAAAAAGAATGATATTTTGCCTTTTGGATAAATACTAGATCATTGTGTTCCAAGCTGAAAGCAATTTACCTTCATCAGACTTAAATTACATAAAAAACAAATGAAGCTTTACTCAGATTAGAACAAAAGCTAAAGGGCAAAAAGAAGGAAATAATTTACCTAACAGGTTCACTTCATCGGTGCAGTTTCTCCAGATTTTAAAGAATAAAAATTAGTGAACCAACACCTGCTTACTAGATAATTGTGGAATGTGTTTACCCTTGTTTCTATATTTGAACCACTGCAAACTGCCTAAGTACTGATTAACTTCGGCTTCTATATAACATCTAGGAGAGGCAAATTATTCCAGTTTGCGAACATTTTGCAAAATTTAGTAGCGTTTCATTGCTTCTTGTAAACTATCACTGAGAACTTTTTATAATAGTATAAATATGACCTTTTACATGGCTTTTGATAAGACATTATTTTAAACATTTGGAAGAATGAAATATAAGTGATATCTTTTTTTTCTTTTTTCTTTTTTTTTTAAGATTTACTTATTTATTTATACAAGCACTGGGTACAATCAGAGGTGCGGGAGGGTGAGAGAATTCGCCAGAGCCAGAGTGGAGAGCAGAACAGGCAGACTGACGAAACACACTGCTGAGGGGAGCAGCAGGTGGCAGGAGAGGTCTGTCGTGCCATGTGGGACCCTCGCCCAGCAGCCGGGGATCGAACCTCTGCTGCAGAGGCTGCGGGCAGCTTCGCAACCCAGCGCTCAACCACTGCGCCACCATGGAGGCCCAAAATATAAGTGATTTCTATGAGAAATTTAAAAATTTTACCTTCTAAAAAGTTTTAAGGGGGAAAGAGAAATATGAGAAAAGTCTCACAAAATATCATATGTGCCTTAGGTTTTGCCAAGACATTCAAACACTGAGAAGGATAGATTGAGCAACTGCTGAAAGTTCCTTCCAATACTAATTTGACAAAGCACTTACTGAGTGCCTACTCTGCTGTGCACAGGGGTGCAATAGTAAAGACATGTTTTTTCCCCATAAGGTGCTTATGGGTTGGTGTAAGGGATTGTAATTTATGCTAAGTGATAAAGGCATTAAATATGATGCTGAGATCAATGATAAAAGGAGGAAGATGGTTTTCATAAAGAAATTTCACATGCTCATAGCTCTGAGCAGTGAGATGATCCTACAAAGCATCTTTGATTCTACAAAGCACCTTCTATTCAACATTGTGTTTGTAGTCTTAATGCAAAAAGGCAATAATAGAAAATAAGATTTAGCCAAACTGAAAAGAATCTGACAAGAGGATAATAGCCAAGATCTACAAAGAACTTACTCAACAAAATGAAAGAGTAAAAAATGGGCAAAAGAGCTAAGTAGACACTTCTTTCCCCAAAGAAGACACACAGATGGCCAATAGGGAGGGATGTGAAAAGTGTTCATCATCACTTATTACCAGGGAAATGCAACCCAAAACCTCCAGGAGCCACCATCTCACACCTGTGAGAAAAGACCACTTCAATAACAAAACAACAGAAGGCGGAGGAAAAAGAACCCTCATTCACTGTTGAGAGGAACGTAGACTGGCCCCGCCCCCGTGGAAAGCAGTACGAAAGTTTCTCAAAATATTTAAAATAGATCTACCATATGACCCAGCAATTCTACTCTTGGGTGTAGAATTCAAAGAATACATGCATACCGCCTTTGTTCATGCCAGTGCTATT